ATGCAAGATACAACCATGTGTGTAATGCAGTAGGTGGAGCCGCTATTAGTATTGGAGACAGACTCTGTCCAGACTCGGATGCTGCACACTGGTGGGATAAATTGAGATTAACAATGACATGTACTTGCACAGACAGGGAAGCTTGGTTCCAGACTTTGCAGAGAGAGACGCGGAGGAATCAGCAGCCCAATACACCGGGCATTCAGGCAATGGCGGTGGGTGGGGCTGCTTTGTGGAGCTTCACAATGAGATGTTTGCCACGTCTCTTTTTATTATAAATCACATTGCAGGGTTTAGAACCAGCTTAGGATGGGGAACGTAATAGGCTTATAGTCAGCGACTGTTTGAGATAAAACAGCGGCTTAAAATACAGCAAAAGGAAAAGTGTTTTTTGGATCTGTTCCCAGTCCAAGATCTGCCTAGAAGTAGTCCTTCTGGTTTGGGGTGGCAAAAGTTCAGGTTAAAGGGAAGAGGATCAAGTAAAATGAAAAAGTTAGGGGTCTATTTATCAATTTTTATCTACTAAGATTAATACTATTTTCACCTAATTTTTTATTGATTCCTATAAAATTGTGTGGAAACTTGGGTGAAAGTTGTAGAAATCTAGGAGGAAAATAGTGATAAATCAACTTAGTAATTACTAAAAATATATCAAAGTAAAAAAAAAATCACATTGAAAATAAAGAGAACCTCGATTGTTGTCTGTGTCCCCACTGGGAAGATCCACCCTCTCTATTTTACCATTTTCACCAGAAAGTGGTGGGAAGTCCAACATTTTTACCCTTTTCATTGGTGAAGAAAGTGAAGGGAAATATTCCAATGGGGGTATTTTTTCTGGAAGCCACTGTCTAAGTTCCCCTTGCCATTTCTTGCCACGTCTACAGGACAGGACTAGAGAGGAATCTCCACCAATGGAACACATACACAAAGTAACAAAAACTGACAGGGGTTTAAGTATTCCCTAGAGCAGCCATTTTCAACTAGGGTTCCTTCAAGGTTGCTAGGGGTTCCTTGGGTGGTGGTTGACTGGTGTCTCATTTATAAGTGCCTACCACTTTTCAGAGGCAGAGGCATGACACACCAGTGATCTTTTTTTCCTGTATATAAGGGTGGCAATCTTCCCATTGGCCACCAATGTAAGGAGTCTTCTCCCCACCAGCCACCAATGTAAGAGTATTCTTCCCACCAGCCAGCAATGTAAGAAGCATTCTTCCCCTGGCCACCAATGTAACAGACATTCTTTCAAAGTAGGAGCATTCTGGTCACCACTGTAAGGGCATTCCACCAACTAATGTAAAGAGCATTCTTCAAAACTGAAACTGGCGAGGAGAGTTCTTCAAACTGGCCAACAATGTAAGGGGCAACCAACAAAAAGAGCATTTTTCCCATCCACCACCCATGTAAGGGACATTCTTTTCCACCTGTAAGGATCACCAACTGAAATGGAGCATTCTTTCCACTGCCCCCCAATGTAAGACAACCTTTTTCCCACTGCCCCAATGTAAGGACATTCTTCCCACTTGCCACCAATGTAAGGGACATTCTTCCCACTATTTACCAATGTAAGGAGCATTCTTCCCACTGGCCCACCAATGTAAGGGACATTCTTCCCACTGATCTCCAATGTAAGGACATTCTTCCAACTAGCCCCACTGTAAGGAACAAATCACCACTGGCTACTAAAATAAGGGAGCATTCTTCCCAATGACCATCAGTGTAAGGACATTCTTTCCCACTGAGTTCTTCCCACTGGCCAATGTACAGGGACATTCTTTGACACTGACCTGTAATAGGGGACATTCTTCCCATTGATCACCACCAATGTAAGGAACATTTTTCCCACTGATCACCCATCAATGTAAGGAGTATTCTTCCCACTGATCACCAATGTAAGGGGCATTCTTCCAACTAGCCACCACTGTAAGGAACAATCTTGCCACTGGCTACTAATATAAGGAGCATTCTTCCAAATGGCCATCAGTGTTAAGGAGCATCCTTTCCACTGACCACCAGTGTAAGGAGAGTTCTTCCCACTGGCAAACAATGTAAGAGACATTCTTCCTACTGTCCACCAACATAAAGAGCATTATTCCCATTGACTACCAATGTAATGGACATTCTTCCCACTGATCACCAATGTAAGGAACCTTTTTCCCACTACCCATCAATGTAAGGGACATTCTTCCCACTGGCCACCAATGTAAGGAGCATTCTTCCAACTAGCCACCACTGTAAGGAACAATCTTGCCACTGGCTACTAATATAAGGAGCATTCTTACCAATGGCCACCAATGTAAGGAGCATTCTTCCTACTGGCCCCATTGAATTGATTTTATTAGGGGTTTCTCAAGGCCTGAAAATTAGTTCAGGGGTTCCTCTAGGGTAAAGAGGTTAAGAAACGCTGTCCTAGAGAGACAAAGAAATAATTATTGGTCCAATTCGTCGGCACTCAGGAGATGGCGGTGGTTCGGGATGCCTTGAGGAGCTTCAAACTGAGATA